CCGTACAGTTTGGAGGGTTCCTCATCCTCAGGGGACCCGTTGCCCATGTCAGTTTCCTAACTAACCAACTGTCGAGAACCTGATGGCTTCCCACCACGGAAATGTGAGCTGACTAGGCCGGGAGGCCAGGCCGAAGTCAAGGCCAGGCCATGCCCCTTTGAAGGCTGCGGGGGATGACCACTCCCCTGGTCCCTGGTTCCTGGGCTTGTGTCCATGTGGCCCTGTCTCCACCTATCTCCTCAGGGTCTTCTCCTCTGGGTTCACATCTCCCTTTCCTGAGGACACCAGACCCTGGATCAGTTGCCTCGCTCATTTTTGCTTAATTACTGGAAAGACCCTACTTCCAAATAAGGTCACACCCACAGATTCCAGGGGAACCTGTCCAACCCATACCATCTTGTGAACAGGGGCAAGTGGCAAACCAGGAAGACCCTCCTGGTAGGAGGAGCACAGCAAAGAGGGAGAGAACCTCCATGATGCATTCCAAGGCTGCCTGGGGCCAGCGGCCAGTGCTCTGGCCTTCGCTCGACAGTGTAAGCTCTTTGGGCTCCATGGTCCATCCCCATGGTAAAGAGAAGGGAGTTGAGGACAGCAGAGGACAGTGTTCATGCCCCAGGTAGGTTTTTGGTGACCTTGTCTGGGGAGCCTTCTCCCCCGTCCTCACCTACTCAGGGAAGTCTGCCTGACCCACTGGATGGTGCTCAGCCCCTTTGCCCCAGACACCTGTGCACGGTCCCCCACGTGCAGGCAGACTCCACCAGGAAGGGCCTTGTCTTGCTCTCTGGCCCCCAGAGCCAGCTCTGCAGAATCAGCTCCACAGACAAGTGTGGGATCCACAGAAGACCTGCCACCTGCCAGCTGCAGCCAGGGAGGGGCCCAGCACACTGACCATCAGAGACCGATGCACAGATGGATGGAGCTAGCCTGCCCAGGGAAGCTATGCTCAGCAAACTTGGTCAGGTCCCCTGGCCCAACCCTCTGCAGCAGCCCCCAGGGCACTAAAGGGCCTGGGACAGGCCTCTCTCCTGTCTCCCCCACCATCCTCCCAGGCTTCTAGGCTCTGGGGATGGAGCACAGGGGTCTGAACCCACACGCAGACAGCATCTGTTTTACTTCACTTTCTTCTTGGGAATGAACTCCAAGGCTCATTCTTTAAAAAAATAAAAAATAAAAAATTTTGCTGGGTATTGAACCGGGGGGCCTTTACCACTGAGCTATATCCCTAGACCTTTTTATTATTTTTTTACTTTGAAACAAGGTCTCACTAAGTAGTTGAGGCTGGCTTTGAACTTGTGATCTTCCTGCCTCAGCCTCCTGAGCCTGGTATTACAGGTGTGGTCACCATGCCCATTTGACTTGTGCTGAGGAGCCGACTTTCCGATGACCACACTCAGGACCCCAGTTTTGGGAAAGGAGGACAGACCTTCCCCACCATGAATAAGGGCCCTAGAGATGGCTCAGGTCAGACTCATTGCAGTGGCCCACCTCCCCCACCCATGCCTGAGTGTCACCCAGGCCCAGAGGGACTTAGCAGCTAGGTGGTGGACTAGGAGAACCCCAAACACTCATCCCTCATAGCAAGAGCCTGGCCAATCATCCCCTCTGGCCTCTGCCCTCAGAGGAACCAGCATTCTTTCGAAGGGCGGGAATCAAAGAGTGGGAAACTAATAACTCTATGAGGCCGCTGCCCTTCCTCACGGCCACAGACCAAGATCCACAGAAAGCTGGTCAAGGTGGCACTCAGCATGGGGTTGCCTGCCTTGGGCAGGCCAGAAATCTGTGTCCTACGTGTGAGTCTGCCTGGTATCCTGAGCAAGATGCGACCCTGGCCCTGGGGTTCCCTTGTGCCCTGATTGGGCTGGTCCTTTCTGGGCCCCCACCAAGCCACAGGGAGCCCCTGGGAACCTCTTGAGCTCGGCATTACTGCTCCAAATGAGTCCCTGAGCTCCCTGTAATCCATCATGGCCTGCCAGCTTCTCCATCACCGGAAGGAATCCAACCTTCCTCCGACCCCAGGGGCAGTCTGTTGATTTATGCTGTGCCACAGGGTCTTAAGTGGCTGCAGCAACCCTTGGAGATGGCAGGGTGGGGTGGGGGTGCCCAGACAGCCTCTCTCCTGGCTGGGGAAGCACCCTCCCAGCCACAGGAAAGCCTCGGACTTTCCTTCTGATTTTAGAGAATTATTGTATCAAATGTTTACCAGGGAAATGTTGATTGTGACAAGGAGCCCCCAGGGCCAAGAGAAAGAGGAGAGCGGATGGGAAGCCAGTCCAGGACCCAGAAATGCCAAGTGCTTGCACATTCAACTGGCATTTGCCACCAAGGTGCCGTTCCTGTTTCAACGGCCCAAGCACGTCTCTGACTAACCCAACGTTCCCACGCCCACCCTCAGCAGTGCCTCTGGTTTTTGGCAAATTTTTTTTCCTTAGCTGTCAAGGCAAAAAATATAGAAGAATTCTGGTCTTACTTAAGGGTTGTTGGGGGGTTTTCCCTTCCCCTGGGGACCCGAAAATAGCTCACAGATGTGCCGTACCTGCTAATGTTTGTGCTCGGCATTACTGCTCCAGAATGAGTCCCTGAGCTCCCTGTAACCCAAACCCCATTTTGTTTTTAAGAGGGGGCTGCCAGGGGGAGTGTGGGGGAGGACGGAAGCTCTAAACATGTCTAAATGTGTCTGGAGCAAATTCCAGGAAACCCAGGCCTCCTGAGAACCCAGTGTCTAGGACTGGGGCTCCCGCAGGAGGGATGGAAAGGTCTGATAAGCCCGAGCTCCGTGTGGAGGCTGCTGGGACCCAGGACTTGTCTCGGGAGCCACCTTCGTCCCTGTCCCCAGAAAAACAAAAATGAACTTTCTAAAAAGGGAGTTCTCCAGCTATTTTTACCCCTGAAAAGGAAGACAGGGAAGGAAGGGAGGAGGAAGAGAGAAAGAGAGGAGGGGGGGAAGAAAGAAAAGGGAAGGAAGAGAGGAGGGGAGGAGGAAGTGGGGGAAGGATCTGTCTCTCCCAGTGACTCAGCCTTGGAGGCCAAGTTGGTGCGGAGATCAGGGGCGGGGCTTCAGAGTTTCGTCCCCTGGGGCCTTTTCTTTTTGGAGAAAGTTCTGAGCTGTAACAGGCAAGGGGCCAGGCCGGGTGGAAGCTCCTCTTCCCTCAGGCTCTGCAGGGGTCCTTAGGCCCCCAGCTGCTCAGGATCCTGGGGGTCTGGTGCACGGGGGGATAGGCAGAACCTGGGCTTGGCTGGCTTCGCATCCTGCTCATAGCCTGTGTCCCCCGCACAGGACAGGCATGGAGACAGCTTCCCTGTGAGCCCAGCTCCCGTCTGAAGGCCTCTGAGTTTAGCCTCCCAGTGCCCACCCTGCCTATTCCTCTCCCAAGGAGCTCCTTGGTTTGGGCAGGCCTTGGGTAGGCAGGACACCTGGGGTCTACATCCTGTCACTGCCTGACTTTGCAATGACCCAAGAAGTAGCAGGCATAGGCCAGTGACCCCAGGCCCAGCTCAGCCCAGGCTCTGCAGGCAGCTGAGGGGTACTGGGGGCCTGGGAAAGTCCAGTGAGGCCTCCTTCTCTGGACCACCTGCTATCTCTTGTGTCCAAAGTTAGGGCAGGTGGATCTGAGCCCTGAGACACCAGGAACGGACAGGACAGTGGCCTCCACCTGAGCCCACACTACACTCCCGCCGGTGGCCCACCTCTAGAATGTCAACAGCCTCCCATGGCCAGTTCTGCAGCCTCAGGGCCCACACCAGCTGGGGCCTCAACAGCTTACCTGTTCTGGATCTGGGTGCCTATCTGGGGACTTGCCCGGGCAGCTCACTCCTGGGCCTCTATGTGGAAGGGAGCAGCAGGGCTGTGTCTGGGATACTGTCCCTTCTGGGCAGCAGGGACTCCAAGTTGTGACTGCTGGGGCCCTGAGTAGACAAGGCCATGGGTACAGTCCTGGCCATACCTGTTCTTGTAGCTGGGTCCTGGGAGGGCGCCGGGCCACAGCCCAAGAGCTGACGGAGGTAACACTCCAGTGGCCTCCTTGGGAAGCCCTGTGACTACACAAGAGGCCCAAGCCTGCTGATGCTCTGAGCCTACTCCCTTCATCATGCATCTGGCATAGTTCAGCAAACCATCCAAGCATTTGTGTCCAGGTGCCAGGGCCCAGCAGGGACAAAGCTGGCCCCAGAGGCCCCAAAAACACAGGTCACTATGTGGTCAGGATTGGGAGCAAGAGACCCAGGGGCTCTAGGATGGCCTCCATAGGACAGGAAGGCTGAGATGTAACTTTAACACAGCCCAAGTATCGAGCACAGGCCGCTGGGGATGTACAGCTGGTCTACCACATCTGGAAAGATGCTCAAACCTCTGGGAAACGTTCAAAGAGGTGTTGAAGTAGAAGAGGCAGGCAGGAATTCCCATGTCACTCAACAGAAGGGAAAACTGAGGCCCAGGGCAGGGCAGGATTCACAGGCACCAGTCAGTCAGTGGCCTAGACTTGGAGTCCAGTGCTTGGGCTCATCAGCTGGCGGACAAGTCTGGGCCCAGGCTTGTCCATGGTGGACACGGAGGTTGAGCAGCAGGTGCCCTCAAGGATGGGTGTTTTCTGGGTTTTTAGGGGCAAGTTCAGTAAGCAACTCAGACATTTTAAAAATCAGTTTCAAAAGGTGGGGGTCCCCTTCTTGGTGGTCTGGAATGTTCTTACAGCTGCTCCCTTGGCACCCTGACTCAGCCCAGCCTCTGAGCTCTTGCCCCTCCCCTCCAGGTTCAGTTCCTGAGCCTCTCTAACCAGGCACCACCAAGCAGAGGCTCCCCGTGCCCTGTGTCCTGGCCAGAATTGGCCCAGTCTCCTCAAGACATCTCTGAGCCTCAACTTCCCTCCCAAACACGGGAGCATCGGGCTACCTGTCCCTAGTGCTCCATGTTCAGTACTTGCAGGAGAGAAAAGGACCCCCAGTCCCCGGCTGGGAGGCCCAGCCCTGCTGCCCCTGAAAAACTCCTGTGGAGCTTTATTTTGTTGTTGTTGTTATTAGATTATCATCAGTTTATTATAAAAGACACATGGAAATTATTTACATGATGAAAGATCTCAGAACTTCAGTGGAATGGGCAGCTTCATAGGATGCCATTTCAACAGTGATTTGTTTCAGTCTACATACTTTCCAAGAATGTCACCATCTCTAAATAAGAAATAATCCTTGTCATCTAGAACTACTTTGGTGCCTCCATACTCTGGGAGAAGAACTTTATCTCCAACTTTCACACTAACTGGCTGAATCTCTCCACCCTTTCCTTTAGAGCCTGATCCCACAGCTACTACTGTTGCTTGCAATACTTTTCCTTGAGATTTTTCTGGAAGCATAATGCCTCCTTTGGTTACAGTTTCGGCTGCACTCCTTTCGACCAATACTCGGTCAAAAAGTGGAAGAAACTTTCTAAATGCTTGTCCAGCCATGACTTGTGCCGCCGCAGCTCGGACTCTGCTCTCGTGCCGCCGCCCTAAAGAGACCCGCAGTCCGGCCCTCGGAACACGTGAAAAGCTCCTATAGAGCTTTAGACATGCTGACAGCTCCCCACCAACCAAGCCAATGATGACTCCCCTCCCCAGGAAATCAAGTCCCTCTGACACTGGAGCTAGCCATAGATTGTTTTGAGGTCATGTGGGGGGTTATAATAACACTCCAGGTTCTTCTGCCACATAAGCACCTGGGGCTGGGTACACAGCAAGCACTCCATAAATGTTTCTGGCACTAACCTGACATTTGGCATGGAAGCTACGTATGGAAAGTAACAGCAGTACCCAGCAAGATCCACCCCCTCCCCACCTGTCAACCGTGCCCCCAGATCTCTGGAGGGGAGAGAGCAGGACTGACCAATTCAATCACCCTGGGGTGCAGAGCCCAAGCTACCACTTGAACCTTAGAGAAGGGCCTTGGGGCCATCAGAACACACCCCTGGTTAGTCAGAGCCCTTGCCTTTCCCCATCCTCCAAGTCCCTGGCCCTGGACAACGAGGCCTGAGCTCTCCAGCCTGATTTGTGAATGCAAGAGCTGCTACCCCCTCATCAAGGGCCCATCCTCTTCCCAGGCCAAAGGGAGGGAAGGCCACCCCTGCCTAGTTCTTATCCTCTCCTCAGCCCCAGCTGTCCGTGGAGTGCCCAGATGAGGTGCTGCTGGAGCTGGGTGGCTGGTGCACTGACCTGTGCTTCCCTCTTGCCTGGCAGTGACCTATGTGTAATTGTCCTAGTGTGTCCAGTCTCTGGGGGTCTGAGGTGGTGACCATCAGAGTGGGCCACTATCTTCCTGCTAGTAGACGACGGGGCCCAGAGAGTGGAGGTCCTGAAGGCACCCTGTGGTGGACTGCAGGCCCAGGGCTCCCTGCCCCCATCCTTCCAGAAAGCTGAGCACCGACCCCCAAGCCAGAGCTGGTTAGCAAAATTTTTGGCTTGAGGCCCCCATGCAGGGTTCCATGCAACACACAGGCAGTGCCATCTCGAGGAGCCTGAGGCCTTCTATTCCTGCCCCAGGAGAGGAGAGGACAGGGCTCAGAGTCTCTGAGCCTGTGAACTGTGCAGCCTGCCAGCCCTTCCTTCTATGGAAACTGCTCCTCTGGGCTGCTGGCTTGGTCTGTTATATAAACATCTCTGGTGCCTCCAGGCGCCTCCTCTCCGGGGTACTGACCCCAAGCTGCTACCCAGGCTCAGAGAAGGGAGGTGGCTTTTGAAGAGAGGGGAGGGGGCTTCCAGCAGCAACTGGCCAAGGCCTGGACAGGCCCCCTGCATCGGCCAATCAGAGCACACACCACTCTTTGGTACAGGTGTGCTAGGAGGGCAGGTGTGGGTTGGTGTGAAATCTGTTTAACTCTCTGTGCCTCCCTGGATAAGGGCAGGCTCCACCAGATTCTGGACTTCTGTCAGCCTTTAAGGTGCCCCTCAGACATGGGCCTTGCTTCAGAAGGGTCCCAGCTCATGGGGCTGGATAGTCATCAGCTTTGCACTCACCACCCAGTGTTGGGATGGGGAGCCCTGTCTGTCCCAGCTCCAGTGAACTTTGGCTGTACAGCGACTATGGCAGACATTTTGAAAGCCCAATGCTTAATTGGGTTTGGCACAGGATGCCCAAGACTGGCATCTCTGTGGAGAAATAAATCATCCGAAAAGAGCACGTGGGAGAGGCTGAGTCGTTGCTTACACCGGGTTTGGGTTTGTCCCACCCAGGCACTTTCCGGGGCCATTTTAGGTAGGCGGCGTCCGGGAGGCAGGGTAGGTAGGACATTGACCAAAGTGCATCTAGACATGGGTCCCTGCTGGGGGAGCAGCTGTACAATCTGGCGAGGCACTGGTCGTGGGCTATTCACTTCGGGCGCCCTAAGCTGCCTCTAAGGAGACCGGGCGCAGCCACCATCTCTCAGGGTCAAGTGCTCCGGAAGTCACAGCTAGGGGTTAGTGGCCTCGATCCTCCATAAGCTTAAAGCCGCGGCCACCGGGCTCCAGGGAGTGGAGCCCCTGGGCCAGGGACACACTCATGGCTGTTCTGGGGATGACTTCTACACCCAGCCTTGGATTCCCCAAAACGTGATCTCGGCTTCTCCCTCCTATGTCCCCGGACCTAGCACCCTGCTGGACACAGTTCGTAAAGCTACGTCTTTCTCACTCTACCCGATCCTCTATTGAGATGCAAATTGTCGCCAAATGTCGCCAAGAGTGGCGACACCTCAGCCGGATCCTTCCGCAGCCTCAGCTCAAACTTTTGGCTTCTGAAAACTTTCGAACAAGAAATAGTCCCCAGGCGCCTGTTCCTGACCCCTTCCGCACCTCCATGGCTCCTAACCCCTGAGGGCCGGGGTCCTGACACTAAGCCCAGTGGAGAATCCGAAGGGCCGTCAGGGACACTGGGAAGGACACCAACGACGCGGGGGTTTGGGGTGCGGAGGGATCGGGGGCGGGGCGGGCCGCGGAGGCGGGGCGGGGCGGGGCGGGGTCGGAGCAGCGGGGGCGGAGCGCTCAGCAGTTCTGCGCCTCACTAGTGCCTCGGCCGCGGGAGGGAGCAAAGGGGCGCCGGGCGCGCGTCGCGGGGCGCGGGCGCGAGCGCAGTGAAGGAACGAGCCGGGGTGCGGAGCCCCGCCGGAGAGACCTCTAGAGCCCAGCCACGCCCGCCAGCCAAGAAAGAGGGCAGTAGTGGGAGACCGCCTGCGGGACTGTCCAGCGCGCGCGTGTGCATCCGAACCCCGCCGGCCCAGCTCAGGAGGCCTCTGCCCCGGCAGCGGGCAGCGGGCCGGCAGGCATGCCGCCGCTCCTGGCGCCCCTGCTCTGCTTGGCGCTGCTGCCCGCACTCGCCGCAAGAGGTAGGCACCCGCCCACCCGCGAGCCAGCAACTTCCCGCGCCCTTCGGAAACTTTGGCAGAGTCCCGTGTGCGCCCCGGGTGGCTGGGAGTGGGGAGCGGACGGCCTGAGGCAAGGGAGTTGGAGTCCTGCGGGGGAGGACCGACCCTCCTCCCCGGTTCTTTTTCGGGCGGACTCGCGTTGTCCGCGCCTGGAGCCGCGCTCAAAGCCGGCTTTGAAGCCCGGCGTGGGGTTCCGGAGGCCTCACCCTGGCTAGCCCTTCAGCAGCCTCGCGTGGGGCTCGCCGCGGGGGCGGGCGGGCGGGCTGCCTACTACTTTTCGATTTGAATCGAGTAGGTTTTGGTTTCCTGTTGCTTCTTGGGGCCATTTATTTTCTTTCTTCTCCGCGTCCGGCCCGCTCCAGGGGCGGATGTCGGGGCGCGCAGTGTGGGGTCCTGGGCTCTGCGCTCGCTCGCTCTGACCCGCGCGGGGCGCTAGGCGGGTGGGGAGCGGCGGACGGCTGTGTCCCCAGCTCCTGGTGGCCTTGTCCCCGGTCTTCCCCACCGCCAGATTGCGGTCCCCCGCCCCGCTCAGACAGTTTGAGGGAGGGGCGTGTGCGAAGGGCCGCGTCAGGTGGACTGACTTGGACCTTCCCTTTGCTGAGCTGAAGTTTGGAAGTTTGAGGGGACAGAGTGGTACGTGGGAAGGGGGCAGTTATTTCTCTGCCAGTCTCACAGGGAGGGGTCCCCGGGAGCTAATGGTGATTGATTTCACTCTTTCCCAAGAAGTCGGAGGGGGGAATAGTGTGTCCTCTTCCAGAAAGTAGGGTTCCACGACGTGACTCCCCTTTACTGCCCCAACACAGGGCCTTAATTTCCGCAGCCCATAAGCCGGGGAGGGAGGGGCTTGATTAATGATCCCTTCCTAAGAGGGGTCGAATTCCTTCCAAATAGGGGCTCTTCATCCCTCTCGGTGGGTGTGGGGGCCGCCCCTAGGAGCAGGTATTGGGTGTCCTGGGAGGCGGGGCAGGTCCCCGGGTGCAGCCCGGTGCCCCAGGAGGCGGCCCTGGCGCGACAATGCGCCGCTCTGATTCCCGGCCCGCGCTTTGTTGGCGGGCGGGGCAGCGAGCTCCGCAGCTGTCGCATTTTCCCACGAGCGGGGAGCTGAGTGTGTCCACCCCCCTCCGGCGGCCTCCTTGCAGATTGCAGTTTGAACAGCGACAATCCCGGTGGCTGACTGGGGTCCCAGAGAGCCTCTGCCAGGCTCTCCAGTGAACACACACACACACACACACACACACACACACACCTCCCACCCTGAAGCATTGCAAAGTTTGGGAGAATGGCCCCAGTCATCTCAGTATTTTCCATTGCTGTCCAGGTGGTGGATCAGACCGTTTCTCCCCCTTGCCAGTGTGACCTGTTCACCTGCTACCTAGCCAGCCTGCTCCCCACACTCACTCCCATTTTTGACCACAACACTCTGTCCAGAATGTTGAAGCCCCCTGGGTTTCATAAGGGGCTTTCCTGTGATGCTAGCCCCAGCAACCCCATGACACAGCAGTGTCTGAGGGTCTGTGGCTGGTGGTGGATCCCATTCCCAGGGTAAAAGGGGTGGGCCTGCCCCCAGAAGCCCACTGACCTCTCCCCTGCCTCTCCCCCAGGTCTGAGGTGCTCCCAGCCAGGGGGAGCCTGCCTGAACGGCGGCAGGTGCCAAGTGGTCAACAGCACCGAGGAGACCTGTGTGTGAGTATCGTCCTGCGGGACCTGTTGCTTTTGTCAGGAGCAGAGCCCCTGCCTTCTGGGGACAGAACACTGGGCCATTGTCTTCTGGAGACAGCCCAGAGGCTGGGCACGGTCACGTGCCAACTTTTATTGGACAAAGTCTGGCAATTACTTAATCACCAGCAATTATGCCGCATAGAGCTGCTTTGGCTGCCGGAGTTGACGAGCTCCCTGGGCCACCTTGGGCTGCTGAGGCACGAGTAGGGAATCCCCAGCACCCCATTTCTTCTAAAAGTCCCCAAGAAACGGAAACTTGGGGCGAACCTGGAGCAGTTGCAGAGGGCCAGCCCCCACCACCCTGTCGACTGGTAGCGTCTTTGCTGGGCAGGGGACGCTTTCTCTGGGCAGGTGAGCCACTCTGCAGGAAATTGACGGTTTCAAAGCAAAACCTGCCTTTGGGCTTGGGGTGAGGTGGAGAAGTTGGAATCCCTCTGTGGGTGCCATCTGCCTGGGTTGGGGGGTTTGAGGTCTCAGGGTCTGGTTTCTGTCCTGGCCCCTGCAAACTCCACCTTCCTGATTATGGCCCTTTCCCAAGTCCTCAGCTGTAAGATGGGCATGTCTCAGGGCCAGGGGGTCGTCTGTAGTGGCCTGGGAAGTCCTGTGGGGACCCGCTGCCTGCCTGGCTGCTTACGAGCACCAGCCGTCCTCAGGAAGTTTCTCTGCTGTGGCTGCTGCCCTTCAACTTGACGAGAATAATGAGGAGGTACCCAGGCTGAGGCCTCCCCTCCCCTGGAGGCTGCAGGCGAGAAATGGCTCCAGCCGGCCGTGCACCCTCATTCCAACTGCTGGAGGCCGATCGCCTTGGCAACACCAGAGCCCCTGCCTCCACCGCCCAGCCTGTGTGCAGCAGCCCCCACCCCTGCGCCTGCCTCCCCAACTGAAGCCAATTAGGCAGGTCTGTGAGCAGTTTATTGGACAAAGCCGATTGTGTCTTTGTCGGGCGCTAATGAATGCACACCACTTTTTTTTTTTTGCTTTTTTTGGGGCCCCTTTCTCCCCCTGTGGAAGCCTCATGGACGCTTGATGCCCTAAATCTTGTTTCCTTCCATTCAGCGGCGACAGCTGGGATTCAGTGGAAGGGCAGTGGCTATTGTTGGGAGGCGGATTAATGCCGTGTGATTAATTATGCGTGGCTTCCCAGAACGCACAAACCCCTTCCCGCCACCTCCTCTGCCTGCCTCACAGCCTGTGCAGGGAACGAGGGCCACTGTGCTGGGGAAGGAGGGGTGGTCCCTTTTTGGCGCCACCAAGGGATGGCATGGCCTGGCCCGGAGAGCACAGAGGCTGGGGTCCCCACCTGCTGCCCTGGCCAAAGGGGCTATGCCTTGAAGTGCAGACTGCTATGGCCCCTGAGTACCCTGCTGCCTGGCATGTGGGCTAAGACCCTTCAAGCCAACTCAGCCATGGGGCCGTGGGCTCTCTCCCATTCCTAATCTGGGGAAGTTGTCTGAAAGGCCCCTCATGACCCAAGCTGGCCATTGGCAAGGGTTTGGTGCCTGGTCTCGCTTCTTCCACTGGGGCCCAGTGGTCCTTCCTTCTTGGCAAAAGGAAGCCTGCCTCAGTTTGGCCTGGCACTTGGCCGAGCTCTGCCCACAGAGGTCCCATTGTGCACACCCCACAGATCCCATTAGATGGGATGGAAGTGCTGGCCTCTGTAGCAGAGTTGGAGGCCAGGGCCATGGAGAAGTGCAGGTCTGAGACTCACACTGCAGTTGGGGGCATCGGGGCCACTCCAGAGGGGTGCAGCTCCCTCTCTGGGCTTGGACACATGAGAGCCCCCACAGTCCTGTTGGCCTGTGCATACAGGCTTCCTCTCTGGAGCATCCTGGCTCTGTAACACCCAGTTGCAACCCTTGTGAAATTCTTGGCTTTGGGTATCACCTACTCTTAGGAGGATCTGGAAAATGAGGAGTCGAAGCTGCCGTGGTAATACCTGGTGAATCATCTTTTTCCACCCAGGAAAAGGAACCTTCCTCAGACATAGCTGCTTGGGGTTGCAGGACTCAGGGCTGGAAAAGTGGATTCCCTTGGTACCAGATGCTTTCCCAAAAGGTCCTAGTGTCACAGAGGCCTGGTCTTCCAGTGGCCATGGGCTGTACATTCTGTGGGTGGGGCACAGTCTCTGGGCACCTGCTCTGTGTGGTATCCCTGGTAGCTGCAGTGGGGAGATTGGTGGCCCTTTGGGCAGGTGCAGGGCTCACTGTGCCCTTGGCCCCTCCAGCCTGCTTGCCAGCCGCATGACTGTTGAGAGGGGTGCTGGGGTGGGCACTTCCTTCTTTTGTGTGATGGGGGGTGAACTTGCTGGAGAGACCCTTTTTCGCTTAGGTGAGCATGCATTCATTGGCCAAGGATTACTGTGTTGCCTGGCCTGGGCAGGGGTCAGAGGCACAGGGGAGGTTAAGATACTGTCTTGCCTGCACCCAAGTCAGAGTTTTATGGAGATGTCTTCCAGGTGGTCACAGAAGTGCTGGGAAGGGTGGCTGGTGGCTGGTAGGGGCCTTAGCTTTGGACCCACCCTGCATTTGAGTTCTGCAGCCCACTTGCTCCATGACCTTGGGTCATCAGGTGGCCTGAGCCTCAGTTTCCCTACCTTTAAATCAGGATTGATACGCAGTTGATGTCTTGGTGCTGTAGGCGCCCCGCGAGTCTGTTTCCCCCGCCCTCTCCGTGTGAGCTGACGGGCTGTGCCGAGGCCTCCTTCTGGACCGTGGGTTGACTAATGAGTTACTTCAGAGTTCTGAAGAGTGCTGGGTGGTGGGTGTGGTCTGGGGCCCCGTGTGGGGAGGAGCTTGGTGATTCTAAGGGTTACGTTCCCTGATGGCTCCAGTGGGCAGCCCTCGGTGCTTCCTTCCAGAGGTGCCTTTGACTGCCTGCTTCCTGGGTGGCAGGGACAGGGCAGGTGCATCCCAGCCCCTGCAGAGTTGGCTTTTCAGCTGGGGACAGGAGAGGCAACCAGCATGTGCAGGTGATGTGTAGGGGGTACCCCGAGGTGCCCCCAGCAGCCCCATGATGCCCTCCACATCAGGCCAGGGAGTCAGGATGAGGCCCAAAGAAGCTGATGCTGGGCCCGCGTGACAGGCCCCTGCAGGTCCTGGGGGCCTTCCCTGCCCCGCTGGCCGCCTGCTCCTCTGGAGGAAGCAGGGCTGGGGGTGTGACTTCCCTTTAAGAGAGGGACAGGGCCACAAAGGAAGTGACTGGGGCCAGGGAGGGACTGAATGGAACCTTGTTCTAGGCGTCTCTGTCACCTGGGTTGCTGTTGTTCCACTGAGTCACCTGCGGTTCTGGGAGGCGGGTTCCTTCCAGTCCTACCTCAGGGACAAGAGCAGAGACAGTCAAGGCCCTCCTGTCTGCCACCTGGTCTTCAGGGTTTAGAGAAGCCACCTCACGTGGTGTCACTGGCCAGCCGTGGAACCGTGGGGGAGACACCAGGGGCTGGCCAGGACAGGGGCTGGCCTTGTGAGGAAGGTGGGTCTGGGGGTGGCCAGCCAGGAGCAGCAGCCAGCACTTTTTCCATTGAACAGAGCGCAGGAGAACTGTGACCTCAGCAGGAAGAGGGTGGGGCGGGTGGGAAGTGTCTCAGGGCGCTGAGCCCTCTATGCCTAGGGGCATGGAGTCCAGGGCTGTGACCCCAGAGCTGGGGTGGCAGTGGAAGGGTCTTACAGGGTGCCATGGCCAGGTCACACAAAGCTCCTGTGAGCCAGGACTGGCTTCGGTCCCCATGGGGGGCCTGTGGATGGCCAGGCCCACTGGGCAGCTCCAGGATGGGCTGAGGGGTTGTGCTACCCTGGTGTGTTGAGGGGACCTTTCCCGTCCCATGTTGTGCTATAAATAGTGGAGGATGTGGCTTTGCAGGTCGACTGAGCTGGCCTCAGAACATTCGGTGAAGGCTCCACGCTTTCATCTAGCCTCCTGACCTGCGGCACGTGTGGCGTGGTCACCCCCTGGGGCTGGCCTAGGTCTGTCTCATCCCCATCACAGGTGGGGAACTGAGGCTGAGGTCAAGTGGCTGGACGCAGGGCCGGGGCACGGTCAGCTTGTGCCAGGTCCTTGTGCAGGTGCGTCCAGAGCCTCCTGGACCTGTGCCAGAGACTGAACAAGAAGCATCACCAGCTGTAACAAGCCGCTGGCTCTGGGGCATCCTTCTTTCCCAGGTGGGACCCTCTGGTGGGCATGCCCTGCACCGGCCACCTGGCTGGCTCTGGTCAGTTTTGCCCCTCAGCTCGAGTCTCCTCTCTGGGCCCTGATTTCCCCCACTGACCTGAGCTGTGTCCTGGTGTCCTGGGACAGCCTGTGGGTGTGAGGGTACTGGCAGTGGCCAGGAGTCAGGCTGGACCGTGCAGCAAGGCAGGGTGTGCCAGGCTGGGCTGCTCTGGGCTCCCGCTTGGTGCTCAACCCCCAGCTTCCAGGCTGGGGTCACCTTTGCTGGGGAGGGCAGAGCTGGGGAATGCCTGGCCTGGGTGTACGGGACCAAGTGGAAGGCAGTGGGATGCCCCTTTCAGGTGGCCTTGCCGCCCCCAGCCCTGCTTTTAAAATCCCATGGGGGCTGGGGCTGATCTGGGGGTTGGGGCTTGGGGGAGGTGAATCATACATATTGTAAAGTTGCCATTTAACCATCAGAAGTGCAGAATTCAGTGGCATTTAGTATGTTCCCAAGTTTGTACAACCATCACTATTGTCTAGTGCCAGAACTTATTTTTTGGGGTATGAGAACTGAACCCAGGGGTGCTCTACCACTGAGCTGCATACCTAGCCCTTTTTATTTTTTTATTTTGGGACGGGGTCTCACAAAGTTGCTGACTCTCTGTCCTTCTGCCTCAGCCTCTGAGTTGCTGGGATTATGGCGTGCACCACCGTGCCCAGCAAGTCCCAGAACTTTTTTATCATCCAAAGGCGGTCACTCCTCAGGCCCACCTGCGCCCTGGCCTGGGCGGGCGTGCCTGGTGTTTCCCTGAGTCCACGTG